AATCGAGCAGAAAATCCACAGAATGAGAGTCTGGATGACGGTCAGAAGAGAAGAGCCAATACCGAAGGCGAAGTAAATCCCGATGTAGTAGCCCACATGGTCGTTGGTGTGTGATTTTGCATTTTGCTCTGACCATGTCTTGAGCCATACGGAGCCACCAATGTTGGCTGTTTGAGAAGCCAGTAGAGCACCCATGTAGATGGCGACAGCAATAATGTTGCTGTTCTTGGCATACTCAATGTACACGTTCCACTTGACCTTTCCTTGCTCGATATGCTCCTTGGTCTGCTTGGACTTGCTGCCAGCAACTTCCTCATCAGTAAGCTTGCCCCGAGGTCCCCGGAAGCTGGCGGTACTAGCGCGGCGCAGCGTTGCCATGCTCGAGGATCGCTTCTTGTTCCTTACTGAAACGCCGGTCTTGATAGGTTCCATCTCAGGAAGCTGCTCTTGAGCCTCTTCCAACTCGGCCTTTTCTTGACTGCTGCCCTCAGCTTCGATGATTGTGGACGTTTCGCTACTGGAGCCGCTAGAGTTGGCCGAAGAAGAAGGGCCTGAATCTTGACCGGCAGTCTTGATGAGATCGTTCACCATGCCCTTCATTGCCACGAGTTGCTTGTACGTTCCGCGCTCGGCAATCTCGCCATCTCTGATCATGGTGATGTAGCTGGCCTCTGTGAGCACGGCAATGGCGTTTGTGGCGAGGATTCTGGTCTTGGTGTTCAGAAGGCCTCTGGGTCCGAGAACATTCTCGATGATATGTCTTCCAACATGGGAGTCTACGGCTGACAGGACATCGTCGAGAAGGTAGATGTCCGCTCTGGCGTAGACGGCGCGAGCCAAGGCCACACGCGCCTTCTGTCCACCACTCAGGGAGATGCCTCTTTCACCTACAACAGTTTCGTCGCCATCGGGCAGCTGGGCAAAGTCGTCAACAAGAGCGCATGCCTTGATCGTCTTTTCATAGAAATCCGGGTCGTATCTGTAGCCAAAGATGATGTTCTCCTTCACAGTCGCGTTGAGAATCCAAGCTCCCTGTGCGACATAAGCCGTGGTTCCGTGGACTTCAACCTGACCTCTGATTTTCCAAAGATCGCCCAGGATACTCTGCAAGAATGACGACTTGCCAGCGCCAACTCTACCGACAACGCAAGAAAGTTCTCCCTTGTAGGCAGTGAAGTCAATATCCTTCAGAGCCTCCTTGTCTTCATGACGGTTCCAGGAGAAAGTTCCGTTCCGGACAATGACTGTCTCCTCTCCCATCTCTTCCGGCGCGGGCTTGATCGTAATCGCATCGGGCTGGATCTCTTCGGCAGTGAGGAAGGAGGTCAAACGACCGACAGCAACACTAGCTTCCACGATAGAGGTTATGACCATGGGCAAAACCGCCAAAGGGAACGTGAGCAGATTGAACAGAGCTAAGTCACAAGAGTCAGCGCTTAGCACTTATTGTAGGTGAACGGCATCACTTACCGAGTGCAGGGAAGACGATTTCAGTGGTCAGCGGCTTATCCTGCGTCATAACAAACACGGCAAAGGTGGAACAAGACACAAAAAATGGAGCCGTACTCCATGTGAAGTTGGCGAATGCTTGGGTTGCTCCAATCTTGCGAAGATTCTTGAGCTCGAGATCATTGCGAACGAAGTTCAGCTTGTTCATGAAAGCAGCACCCCAAGCGTAAAGCTTGATGCTCTTCATGTTGTTGATGATCTCGTTGATCAGGCGACTCCTCTTGTCCTTGTTCTTCATTTGCTCCTTTTGCAAGTTTCTCATGATTCTGGCAATGAAACCATGCGCAGGCATCATGATAATCATGACACCAATACCAGCAAGCATTGACCAGCCAACAAGTTGGTACAATGATACCATGCAGATGATGATCTGGAAAGGAGCGGACCAGACTTGCTGGGCAAATTGGGTCAGATCTTGTAGACGCTGAGCATCGACAGCCATGTAGTTCACGATATCGCCGGTCGACTTGGATGCGCGTCCCTCGTTGGACAGTCTCATCGACTTCTTGTAAATGGCCGATGCCAGACCGCCCTTGATCCGCATACCGGTGACGAATGCTAGCTGGAAATATTGATGCTGGCGCGTGTTAGTGGAGCTGCGTCTTGCTAACTCTTACGATATGGAACTCACGATCATGGAGGTTTGCAAAACGGCGCACGCAAACATTGCCAAGGCGATGGAAGCACCCTTGATCGGAGGCTGCTCCTTCTCATCATTCTCAGTGTCGTAAGAAGCTATGAATGCAATAAGATACTTCAGGAGTTGTGGCTGAAGATACTGCGTAACATCGTTAACAGCCTTGAAGAGCGCAGCTATGGCGTATGGGCCACCGTAGGCACGGAACATGGCTAGCCACAGGGATGGGTTCTTGTGGTGCTTGAGTTCGTACTCCCAAGCTTGGTTGAACGCGTCACCAGTGTTCTTGGTCTGGTCTTTTTGAGCGAGCCCCCAAAGATCATCTTCAGTCAAGTATTGCTTGTATCCATAGCGCATCAGAGGAGTCATCCAGGAGAATGTCAACTGGGAGAATACGGTGGCATATTCAATGGGACACTCTTCCTCGTCGATCAAAGCCTCGTATGCACTGACCTTCCTTGGCCATAACCACTCAACCAGGAATTCGGCTACAGAGAGGCCGAAGCCGACGGTGTAAGTAATGAAGTAGGCCGGGCTAGTCTCGTACAGCTGCTGAGAGATCAAGGACCGGAGCTTGACTGAGTATGCGATCAAGAGAAAGAGCCAGTAGAAGAGGACGACACCGTTGGGATTACGCAGGCGCGCATGCTCGAGCCATTGAATGGCAAAGATGACGCCCAGAGATAGGATTGTCGCAGCCGTTGTCCAAAATCGGAAGTCGCCGTACCAAACATCGGGATAATTGACGATTTGTAAAGCAAGTTGTACTGTTACGTCGGCAATGATCAATCCGAGGAGTGTCTGAAAAGGGCGGTTGGTCAGCTACAGACGAGATAAGAAAGCATTTTAAACGACCACTTGCCTGCTTGACCCAAAAATGCCAGTCTTTAGGGGCATCGGAAGGCTTCCTGCGCTGGATGAGCCATACAATGGCCAGAGATCCAAAGATGAGACCAAATGCTGCCACAGAGGCGATCCAGACATCGATGAAGCATGGTGTAAAGTCATATCGGATAGGGCTCAGCGGACCCCAACCCTCTTCGTTGCCGCATAGCGGCTGCTTGATCTCTGCAGTCGCAGAGAGATAGTTGCTACCGAGCTGTCCCAGGCGATGGAATCCGGTGAACGAGCCTGTGTGCAGAATGCGCTGCGGCGAGTAGTCGGAATAGTCCATGGCGATTGCTCTTCTGCGGTTTCCCCCAACCCGCCTGTTTAACGCATGCTAGACAGAAGTACTATTCGGAAGGGGATTTATCGGTCGGTCGTTCGTGGGGCCCTCTCGTAGTAGAGGTGGAATTGACTGATCGGAATTGTTGAGCAGTGCAATTAGACGTATACACTGGAATAGAGATCAGGAAATCGTCACGGGGGCGACGTTGGCGACGTGGGAAAAGTTTTGAGGGCGGACGACCGAGTCGGAGTAAACGCATGCGACGTACCGTGAAGTGGACGGGGGAGGTGCCCTGTGGTGGAGAGTCAGCTCGGTGTTGCTCTTGTGGTTCCAGAGTGCGAGTGACGCTGCTGCCCTCCCACTTCCGCTGCATGGTTTGTCAGCTTTGTGGACGCTGGGCCCTGGGGAAAGAAGCACCTGGCACCTCCCCGTCGCGGTCACTGATGACTGGTCCATGTCTCACACATTCGGGTTCGGAGAGCCATCCCGCGGCTTACCCAACCACAGGGCTCACCGCAGTTTAGCTCACGGAAAGGTGGGGAGCTATGACGACCTGCATTGCAGCCTTGTCCCGCATTCGGCTTTTTCGCGATACATTTCCGGTACCTCCGATGCATGCACAACTCAGTGTTCGCAGAGCCATCACTCGCCAACGTCGTGGAGTAGGGGACATGTTCCCTGTAAACGAGGGTCGCGCGTGTCAGCGTCTTGCATCTCAGTCTTTTCAGATAAGACGCTCGGATAATTGAGTCCGGCACCAGGTGCCGCGTATTGCCGTATTTTGCATGCACCGCTTACCGCATTGTGCCTCCTCACATTAGGTCCTTCGTCAGCAATGGAAAGGATGCGATAACGGAGGAGCGGTAGGCACATCATATGGGCAGGTACCTAACGGATAACATCGAACAATTGATGAGCTGTACGGCCTGATGCACAGACGGCTTTTACCATACCGGTAGTGCACCGTAGCTCTGGTACCTCGCCTTACATAGGCAAGTAGGTATTGGCAAGCTACCTTGAGGTGTCACAATTCACAACAAGCCTTGTTTCCCCGGATAGCCAAGACAGAAACACATTGCGGGACGTTGCATGCAACATTGCTTTTCTTATTTCCCCGATCCATGACATTCAGAGTTCGGTGAAACCCTTGACTCTGTAGACAGCACCTTCGCGTTCATCGCGATGCGATCGTCGGGAGTTTCAACTGCCTCTGTTTCTCGCGACTCATGTACAACCATGAAACATTGAATCCGACATGGTCGTCATGGTCTTTGGCTGCGGTGGCTGCTCAACAAGCGCTCCCATCTGCCTGGCCCGTCAGAGAGCCACATTCCGACGCCACCGAACGCTTCTCCTCTAGGCAGCTAATCTGCCTTCTGTGATGAAGTCCCCCAAGTCTCGTCATGGTGACTCTCAAATCCCAAGGTCAACGATAATTGAATTGCAGCCATCGGAACGGCGGACTCAATAAGTTAAATACCATCCAGCTGGTCTCGGCTTCGGTTTTGATCTACGCATCCAGTCAACGACAGGTTCCAGAGCGGCAATGGAATCTAGAACCCGTTGCGGATCAAACATGTCTTACCCGTTTCGCGGCGTTTTCGCGGGGTAATTCACCATCCGCAACCAGAAGTGTCAGGCTCTTACTCAGTCTTGAGGACCAGAGCTGTCTCCGTCCTGTGAATGGTGGTACCTTGCTGTCCGCTATCGCAATGTATAGGGCGCTGCCCATCCCGCCGTGCTTCCAAAGAAGCTTTTGAGTTCACTTCATTGCCGAGTCTACTTTACAACTATCGGCGCCGTGGCCGATGTTCGTCGAAACAACATCTGATATCACTGAACATCGTGGGACGGGTTCACTACCCTGACTGTCATGAAAGATTACCCCTGGAGTAGTGGCTCCAGACTCATGGATCTGAAAGCGCGCAATTTGTAGAAAACGGGCCTACGATCCAGCAAAAGTCCAAAATATAGCCTCCAGAAACAGCCCTTCGTGACAACCATAAACTTGAGGATGAAATGTGTACCCAGGACGAAGTCCGAACAGGTGTCTTGAGCCAAAGTCTCATCGCCCCAGCCGCGCCTCAAAGGTACACAGTTGTGCGGGTTGTTGAGATTCTTATGAGCAAGATGACCTTTGTGGTGCCTACCGCCCACCTTCCTGAGCTTGTCAAGAGCTCTTTCTCCGATACCGTCTTGCCTTCTCTATACAAGAAGGACCTGCCTCACGCCTCCAGCTTCTTTCTTTCTTACTTCGGCAGGAACAAATCGACTCGCTTGCAAAGTAGGAAGGAAACCTCTATACCTCCTTCTCAGATTTCTTCGCACCCTTTCTTCTTACACTTCTCTCTCAATTCTTCCTCTCTCCCACCTCAACTCCCTCCCCCAGACAATTCACAATACTAATTCGAAGCTGGTCATACCTGCATTCTCGATCACACAGAGAGAGCTTCATCAAACTATCATCAGGATGTCAGATCCCCGGAAAAGACGCGAGGGAAACAAAACCGACGAGTCGGGATACTCCATTTCACCATCGCTTGTTGAAAACCTTACCATCGCGACCAAGTATGTCCAGCAAGGTGACGCTATAGAGATTGATCAACATGATGAATCCTGCACTACGACTCTCCAACGTTTTCTTTCGGTAAACGCAGTTCTGAGCACAGCATCGTCATTTGCTATCCGCCAACAACAAGCGGCAGAGCAAGATCTTCCGCTTCAGGTCATCGGAGAAGGATTTTGCGGTGTGATATACGACTTCCCTAGCAGGGGACTCATCATCAAGGCCGGTAGATCAAACAAGAAGCAAGAGATGTGGGCTGATCATGTGGCTCACGTCAAGATGTGGGAGGCTTCGAAAACCACAAAGTCTTACGCCATGCCAAGACCTGCATATATCGTACAAGTCGAGGACCTTCAAGCTTGGAAGATTGCTCACCGCAAGGAGATCAAGAGTCACTCAGGATTTTTCTTCGATCCCAGCGCGATCATGGTATCTGAACGCATTCTCCCACTACCTCGAAGCATCCGTGAAGCGCTTGTGTCCGTCTTCTGTCCGTCCGACATGAAAGCCGACGCTTCAAACAACCCAGCAAACAAGCATTGCTTGATACGCATTTACCTTGGACGCAGACGCATGAATCAAAGAGTCGAAAACAAATTCTCTCTGCGAAATTTTGAGCTCACGCTCGATAAGATGGAGATCTTGGGTGTAGACCCCCAGCAATATGTTCAGCCAATGGCTGAGGCTTTGGCGGTCATGCACTGGGCTGCTCAGATTGATGGTGCAGATGTCGAATTCGTTCTTGGCAGTTCTCCCGAGCGTCGCATATCTGCTCAAACCCTGGACTCAATTGACCTTGAAGGGGATATCATCACGACGTGGAATATGGATGAATCGAAATCAAGCGGCATCAACTTTCTCCGACGCAGCGTGAGCATCTTCTTACTGGATTTCAATCAATGCAGAAGAATGCCGCCCACTCCCAAGGGCATTGATGATGCTGTCAAAGCATTTTGGGAAAATGACCCATACTATCCAAGACCTGGCTACAAGGAGGGATCCCAAGAGTGGATGCTTTGGGAACAGTTCAAGGGCCACTACTTAGTCAAGAGTTATAAGATTCTGGATGACTCTGCTACAATGCCCGCCGAGTTTCTCCGCAGAGTCGAAGAGCATGGAAATTCAGCTGCAAGGCAGCTATTCATGGGCGGCCCCCCTCCAAATTCTGCTACGGCTTCCTCAAGTCCCACTCCTGGTCCTTCAAGCTCTATGCAAGCTTCACAGAGCCCGATACCGGGTTCTTCAAGCTCTATAGCAGACACGAAGAAAGGCAACAACAACAAGAAGCAGAGGAAGTACGCAACTCTAGGATAATCCTCTCTCTACGGACAAGGCAAGCTCGCCAACTTCTTATATGCACGGGAGATGGCCAAGAGAAGTCCGTAGAAATTAGTCCCGAACATTAGAATAGGAAATAAATTGATCAATGTTTCGGGCTATCAGGTTCCCAGTCTGAGACTCCCACCTGTTGGGAAACAGGCTTTATCTCATAGTGACCCTATCACGCGGTTGTCAAAATAAATGGCACATTCAGGTGACTATCTACTTTTTCTACTTAATTTCATAAATTCTCCTATAATTCAAATTTCGTCTAAAGGTTTTGTAATTGTTAAAAGGGGTGTTAGTTGTCTGATTACCGAGTACGTCAGTCAAGGAATCAAGATCCATGGAAAATATACGGACATCAGGCATTGTTATGATGACCTCGCCACTGCTATTAAGTCGTCTGATTGAAACAAGATCGAACGCATTTTGCATGAACTTGTTTGATCCATAATCCAACTCTACTCGGAAACGACCTAGCGAAGTTAAGTTGAAAATGGGCGATAATCAAGATCAACCATTCACTTGGGAAAGCGAATGTTCCACCAGGCTGCCTAAAATAGAGCCTGGGATCAATACACAAACACCGACACCGCCATGGAAACTACGCGTCGCGCAGAAGCGCGCAGAACAATACGCCAAGATTCCCGTTGGATGGCGTATCGACCAAACTGTTCCCCCTCCCAAAGACGCGGACACCTTTCTTCGTTCATCTGGAGTATTGAGCGCGGAAGAGCTTGCTTGTACGGAAGTTGAAGACATCCAAGTCTTACTTGAGCAGATTGCGACTCGAAAGTTGAGCGCAGTCCAAGTCCTCAAAGCGTTCGCGAAGCGAGCAGCCATAGCCCAGCAGCTAGTGAAATGCTGCACAGAGCTCATATTTGAAGAGGCTCTCAAACGAGCCAAGGCTCTAGATGTCCATCTAGAGCGGACAGGCTCCGTAGTTGGGCCATTGCATGGACTCCCGGTATCACTCAAGAACATATTCGACGTCAAAGGGTTTGACTCTACCATCGGTAAGCCGCTGATTGCAGGTTGCCAGTGTGATACTAACAATTCCAAGGCTGGGTTAACCTCATTGAGAAGTTGGCGAAAGAAGATAGCGTCTTGTCAGACGTTCTCGTAGCTCAAGGAGCTGTGCTTTTTGTCAAGACGAATGTTGCGCAGGCACTAGTGGTAAGAACCTCCACCAACATCCACTTGCAAGACCGTAGTCTCATATAGAACTTTAGTTATCGGACTCCTACAATCATGTTTTCAAACAATCTTTGAACTCACTCAACCGCGAACTGATATCTGGTGGCAGCTCAGGTGGCGAAGCGGCACTCGTAGGCTGTCATGGTAGTTTGGTCGGGATCGGAACAGACCCCGGCGGTTCCATACGTATCCCAGCAGCTCTGCAGGGACTTAACGGGCTCAAACCGACTGTTGGACGACTACCGTTCGAGGAGTCGAGGTAAGTTGCTTCCCCCCAACGTTCGGTTGCTTTAAAGCATCGTTGACTAACAAGAGTGGGACGGCAGCAAATGGGAATTTATCGCACCGCCAGTGGCTAGTCCTCTAGCATTCAGCCTCTCGACAATCGAAACCTTTATGGATGGCATCTTGCCTTGTGAGCCGTGGCGAAGTGATCCGACGTTGCTGCCTATCCCGTGGCACAAGGAGCTTGCGGCCAAGCCCGACAAGCCTCTCAAGATCGGATATTACATCAATGACAACGTCGTCCGTGTACAGCCGCCTATTGAACTTGCGGTACGGGCTGTCGTTGATAGCATCACGGCTGCAGGGCACACTTGTGGGTGTTGGTCCATTGCTCGCTCTTGGAAATTTTGGCCTTGGCTGTGCCTGTGTGCTAACACACCGCACGCAGTGATCGAATGGGACCCCACCTCGCATGCTGAAGCTTACAATGATTGGACAACTGCCACATTCGCTGATGGCAGTGAGTCTCACAGGATGCTGAGTGAGGCCAGCGGAGAGCCGTTAGTCAAAGGGCTTCTCGTTGGAACTGAAGAAGACAAACTCTCAGTTGCAAAGTCTCGCCATGTAACTCAGCTCAAGCACGGATGATACGCACTACCTCGACTAATGAAATTACACAGCTGGCTGCCAAAAAGCTCAAGTATGAGCAAGGATACCTCAAGCGCTGGAACGAGGCAGGTGTTGACGCCCTCATCACGCCGGTGGCACCCTGGGTCGGGATGAGACCCAGAGTGTGGGCCAAGTCAAAGCCTCACGTCGGATACACCTCGCACTGGAATTGGCTTGATTATGCAGCCTTGACGATCCCCGTAATGCGAGCTGAAAGCGATGGTGCCTCGAGCCAGCAGTGGACTGATCATGTCCCATGTAACAAGAGCGATGAGATAAACTACCAGCTGTGTAAGCATTCTTACGGCATCGCCTCTCAAAGGGCTGTACATACTAATGAAAAACTAGATGATTTTGAGCAGATGCGCGGCATGCCGGTTGGTGTGCAGATTATTGGAGGAAAGTATGGTGAGGAAAACTGTATCTCAGTTGCAAAAGTCGTGAAGGATGCTCTGGAGGTCGAAACCTTGAAAAGCACAAAGCACAATATCGTAATACGACAGTTAGAAATGCTTTGTCACTAGTATCGCGTGATCCGAAGAAATAATCGAGTCGAGACAATATCACAGAAAACTCAGGTGAATGATGGTATCCGACTTTTAAAGCGGACATCGTTAATGGTATGTTGGTGTTTTCCTCAGAAACGTTTGCCAGGGGTCGTCAGAGTACCTACCTTATCTATACCCATACACCTCAGTCTAGCTTGATTAGATAGCTAAACGACGTTGCAGTCTGCTGAGCCTCAAGATACGACAAGAAAAGTACCTGTCTTCCTTGTCCGGGGAAAGGCGGGCTATCGCCTGGGTTTAAGCTTATCTCGCAGGAGTGGCAGGCACGCGGGAAGCCAAGACCCGCGAACAGGAAACCACCAGTACCTTGCTAGGTACGCAAGATAAGATAAGCCAAAATCCAACGACGTCAATCCAGGAAGACCCCTCCAACAACTTTCTTTCCTCCGAACTTTATTCAACTACACACTGGCGTCAACTGTATTTTCCGACTGATCATCTGGTAGCCGCTGCGTGCTGGCGAAAGAGAACACGATGACCAGTTCGCCGGCATCGCCGCGACGGCGACATATCCTTTCGTCTGTCAATCCCGGCGACAGTCACGAGAACACACCAGAGCCAACCAAGCGCAAATCGCCGCCCGCTCCAACAGACGCAGGAGCAGAAGCACAAGCGCAAGCAGAACCAGGCGACGGCGAAAACCTGCGACCTAGATCATCCCGCTTTCGATTAAAATCTAAACATTCAAAGTCGAGCCGATCGCATCGTCACCGCGATCGTGAACGTGGCCATGATCCAGACGCCGCCGACAATGACGAATCCCGCTCAGAACACCGCCACAGTCGCCGCCACCACCACCACCACAGCAGCAGCCGGCGACATCGCAGACGTTCACGGTCCCCGACGCCACCGAACCCCTACGAACCCCAGGCCCTCGACCCAGACGCCGCATTCCGCGAATCCCTATTCGACGCGATGGCCGACGACGAGGGCGCGGCATACTGGCAGGGCGTCTACGGGCAGCCGATACACGTCTACTCGAACGAGAGGCCAGGCCCAGAAGGCGAGCTCGAGCGGATGACGGACGAAGAATACTCCCAGCACGTCAGGCAAAAGATGTGGGAGAAGACACACCAGGGCTTACTAGAAGAGAGGGCCCGTCGGGAAGAAGCACGGAAACGCAAAAAGGAAGAGGAAAAGGTGAATAGGAAGCTCCAAGAAGACATGGAGCGGAGCCTGCGTCGCGGGGAGGAGCGGCGCAAGAAGAGAGCATGGGTCCAGCTGTGGGAAGATTACACACGAGGCTGGACGGAGTGGGCCAACAACGTGGACAAGATTCCCTGGCCCGTAGAAAGCGGTCGACGTAGAGACATTAACGAAAAGGAAGTCCGGCGGTTCATCGTCAACGGGCTCGGGCTGGAGGATATTGGCGAGAAGGTGTTCGCTGCGAAGCTGCGCGAGGAGCGCGTGCGGTGGCATCCCGACAAGATGCAGCAGAAGCTTGGCGGACAGGTGGACGACGAAGTTATGAAGGACATTACGGCGATTTTCCAAATCATTGATAAGTTATGGGCAGATACCCGGTCGAAGGCGTAATTTGAGCATACAGTACATGCGGATAAAAGCCTTCGACCATCAGATCATCATACGGCGCAATAGCAGAAAGGTTTTTTACAGGTACGGGGTGTTTTGTTTTAACCGTCTCGGGAGAGGTTAAGTGCGATCGAGATCGCGAGCTATCAATCCCATGTTCGACTTTGCTTTTCACACGGTGAAACATTGGGTGAGGCAGTGTGGCGGGACCTGAAATGCACCATTGCTTGCCTTGCCTTGCCTTGCCAGGGCCCGCCCCATTTGGAGAGTGAGGTGGCTGGCCGCAGCTGGCTACGGTGTTTGCACTAGTAGATATGCATGGTTCGGATACGACGTCTGGTGCAGGACAAGCGTGGCCTGCTGCAACACTGTGTTGTTGGAGCAAAGCGCCATTTATCGGGTACAAAGCAAGTCCGACGTTACTCACGTTCCAAACAGCAGCGCCCTTAGATATTTGGGCAAACAAGAATAATGCCAGAAGAAATGTGGTTATCATGTAGGGGTAATTATTATTGTGCACTTTCCCTCCAACTTGATGTAGAGACATAGCTTGGATGGTAGGATGAATCAATCACGATTTCGAGTCATAAGATGGTTGAATATACAATTGATGTTTGATTGATGTACAATTCGTACTGGTATTACATCTTGATATCTCTGATAATCCCAAAAAAGCCCAAACAATGCTGTGTAGTACCCTTTACCACGCACCGGGAATTTCAATCGTTTCCGCTAAGCCATTTCGTTCCATAATTCCCATAATCATTGTTTTAGATTCCCAATTTACAGGTTGGCAACGAGAGCAGCACCGCCGAAGAGAGCACCGAGAGCAACGGCAGCAGTCTGAGCGGGGGCAGCACCGGGAGCAGAGGTGCTCTGAGCAGAGGCGACGCTGGAGGCGGCGGAGTTGGCCTTGCTGGTGACGGAAGCGATCTTGGAAGAGATGGAGGCAGAGCCAGCGGCATCGGTGGCGGAGGTAAGTTGCTGGCTCAAGGAGCTGACCTCAGCACCAGCAGAAGAAGTAATGGAGGCGATGGCCGAAGAGGCGGCGCCGGCGGCGGAAGAGGCACCGCTCAGAATGGAGGAAGCCTCGGAGGCAATGGCGCTAGAGGCGGAGCCGATGAGGGAGCTGACCTGAGAGGCGCCGGGGACGGCGGGGGTGGTGGAGGCATCCTGGGCCTGAAGACGGTTTGTCAGTATGTGGTAGGAGAGAGTGCGATGAGGATTCAACTTACGGCGACCAGGGAGACCAGGGCGAAGACGGTGGCGGCGGAGAAACGCATTTTGACTGATTGAAGTTTGTTGGATTTGGTGTTTAGGGAATGGAGTTATTGAATTAGATATCGGGTAGTCGAAGACTGTATATTTGTATGAGACTGGGTTGATTGGATAGAGTGGAGGGAAGGGAGACGACTGGAGGATGGGCTGACGGACAGAGGTCTTATATATCTTCTGATGAGACCATCTAGAGGGGAGTACTGGGAAGAGAGAGCCAAGCCGAGCCGCCTGTACCCCGTTCGTTCTCTCACTCACCTCTCTTCCTCTCCTTACTTCACACCCCCAATGAACCGTTCGTCATTCACATTCATCTCGCACCCCCCTCACGCCGAGAGAGGCCAGGCACCACCACAAGAATCCTCCACCAAACGCCGGGCGCGCAAGCCTAGCACCAAGAATACTTGGCGCGTTGGTGTGTTGTGGTAGGCAAGGGGAGGTACTCCGTACACCGTACTCGCGGCGTGGGCGGTGCGATGATGGGATTCCTTTCCCCGTTTTCGCCTCCTTTCGTTTGGGCGAGAGGGCTAAGAGGCGGAACCAGGGGGTGGAGGTCAGTCCAAGGAGGCTAGGGGAATACTTGGTTAAGCTGTTGCTAGTCTAGCGGACCACGGGTGGCACTCCGAGACTTGATGCTACGTACCCCGGCCAAGGTCGAAGCTGGGGAGGGGAGACCCATGTTCGGATATCCCAGACATCCCAGAATGCGCGAGTGCCAGACTCCCAGTCGTGAAGGAGGTGTGCTCTATTCGTGGTTTATGTCTGTCTCTGTGGGTTGTGGCTCCGTAGGACCAAAGGGCGAACGACAAAGACCCACTTCCTCACGTCATCCCCGCGGTAACAATGCAGTTTCCCAACTGCCTTCTCGGTACTCTTTCTCACTCTACGCAGTAGACTCTAGCAACTAGGCCCAATCGATGGTGGCCAGCTGGAGCAGCTATGAGAAAGAGGCCAGGCTATGGCTGAGCTGACTGAGTTGGCACGGCTGGCCGGTGGGCATACGGACAGGCGTGACAGGCTGGATGGTCGGCATTGGCAAAGCGGAAAGCTCTCCCTACCTGCCCCTCTGGCAAGCCTGCATGTCTGAGACTGGGGATACCGGGGATCATGATCCCATCTTGGGAAAGATCAGGAATTCCGAGGTAGCCTGCTGTCTGCTGTGCTGAATCTGTGCCACCTCCTCTGTCTTTCTCAGCCACTGGTCTTTTCTCACGGCGATGATTTGACCGTGGCCATCAAGCACTAGCACCGTGAGCACCCTGCAGGACAAAACGCTGGACGGCCACGCTAAACGCAGCTGAAGTGTACGTATGTTCCAAAGCAGAGAAAACCGTGCAGGAACCGTCGAAGAATCCGATGCCGAGAGAGAGGCAACATTTCCAATTGGGAAGGGCACCTAATGATGTCGTCCGCCCCCAACGAGAAACAAGCGCCACATTAGGCCGGATCTTTTAGCCAAACGGACTCGAATCTAGCCCACGCTCGAGACGTGTGGATATGTGGCTAGGCTCGAGCGGCAGCCGTAAGGTCGACGGTTACGAGGACGATGGCCGAGAGAGGCGGAGGAGGACGACGACGGTGGCGCTCTGCGTGGCTAACGGTTTGGCTCATGAAAGCATCAAGGGATTAGCCCGGCGCAACTGGTACCTACCAGCTGTTAGGCACCTGAGATCCGTCAATAGCTTTGCTATGCCTCTCGGCTTTGGTGTTCCCAAAGATAGCAGCAGTGATTATGCTCGCAAGCCACGCGGGACGTACACAGCCAACGGCGTGGAGCAGCAGGATGAGGCATTGACGGGAGGATGACAATGCTATCCCGCTATATCCACAACGTCAGCCCTCGGCTCGATGCGATGCTTGCAAACCCAATTGCATGTGTACATCAATAACGGAGAAACAAGTCCGCTTTCCTTGCTCGTCGTCCGCTTTTCCGTTTTGTTTTCAGCCGGGAGAAGCGAGTCAATTGGCAAAATGTATTGTGGGTTCGGATGAGGCGGTGGTGGACGGGGGAAAACGAGCATAGCCTATGCTGTCCAAGCAAACAAATGCAAAAACGAATAGCAACATGTCATCAACAATAACAAAAAAACCGGGGGTTCCTTTTGGAGAAGGTACGGAGTACCTACTCGGGCAGACAGGCAGTGGGCCAGTGGCAGACACCAACCGGAAAGAAAGAGACATGGACATGGGTAATGAAGGTAGGTACCTTCCCGGGCATGCAATGACACCATGGGCCAAGGACTTGGGGCGCTGCGACGGCGGCGAGGAGGAGATCGACAGGAGGTGGAGAAGAGATTGGAGGGATATGATTCGTCAAAGCTCGTTATTCCCGCGTCTAGAGGCCCCCCATAAGGCCCATGCTCCGTACTGGAGAAACCGCCAGCCATGACAAAGTCCCGTCGACATCGGATATGGATACGTACCTGCACCTCACCGTGTTACTAATGGATACACCTCTCCAGCGTGGATCAACTCACAGAGTCACAAGACGTAAGGGAAGGGGAAATGGGCAAGGGAAAAAAGAAAGAGACGGTGACATGGGGGAGAGTCGTCCAGACAATCGTACTGTTTGTCCAGTGCTCTCGGATAATTGCCTGAGGTGCTGTTCCACAGTTTCACAGTCTCACGGTAGAAGACAAGGCTTTGCTTCGATGGAAGCCTAGGAGGAGGAGGAGGAGGAGGAGGAAGCACCATGGAACAAACCAGAGACTCAGAGGATGAGGCTTGTGTACATGCGGAGTACATACTATGTGAGAGAGCGAGAGAGAGGGCGGAGCTTCACTGACTGTCGGGTCCCCCGGATCGACATTTTCTCTTCGTTGGGTCTCTGTTGAGGCTGCCAGCTGGCGCAGCTGAGAAAGAGCTGAAGCAGACACAGAACACTGCCCACCTGTCAATGAGAGGTGTGTCCCATCTTTCACTCCAAGTCTGCAATAAGCCTCTTGCCAGCCTGCCAGCTCAAACTCAAAACTCAAAAAACAGAGGTCCTCGTTGGGTTTTTTGACAGGCGTGGGAAAAAAAGACGAGCAAACTTTCTTTCTGCTCGTGGAATCTGATCTGCCAAGGATTCTTACGCTTACCCGGAAGCTTGATGCACTGACGTGGGTAGGCACAGGCAAGGCAAGGTCAATGCAAGCCGCTAGGCATCATGCTTCTTCTCACAGGCCCTTTCGAAAGATCCTCACACAGCGCTGATTTCATATTTCTCTCCTTTCGATTGAGCCCTCATTATCCTTTTCCAATCTCAATATTGCCATCTGAGAGCAAGATTTTCTCTGGCCTGTCACGTCCTGTCTGGAGATGAAGTCAGAACACCACCACCTCCGGAGGCTAGAGCGAAAAGAGGACAGTGTCGCGAGCCTAAGTACCTTATTATTAAAGAAAGTTAATTCTTTCTAAGTCACAAGTACAAGAATACAGTTTTAATAAAATAATATAGTACTTACTTAGTACTTAAATTAAAATACTTTTTTAAGCTTATTATAAAAAAAATAACTATATTACTAACTACTTATTATTAAAATTTATAAATAGTATTATAATTTTAATTATAATAGCTTCGCTTATAATAAGTAAAAAGTCTAATTATAAGTCCTTTAAAAACCTCTAATTAAAAACTATAAGAGCCTCTAAATATACTAAGTTAAAATACTTATTAAAATATTAATAACTAAACTAACTTTATAATAACGACTTTAATAAAAGACTTAGTAAATAATACTAAAATCCTTATTAATATTAAGTACGATTTATAAAATATAATAATACGGCTATAAAGTATTATTAATATATTTATACTAAAAAGGGTATTATTAATATTAATAAAACGGATAGGGTTATATTAATATAGTACCTTAGCTTCTTTTTATAACTTAAAAATAACTATTTTAAATAGTATTAAAATTTTATTAAAAAGTTTTTTTAAGTACTTTAATATATTTATTATTATTTTTATAATAATAAAACTCTTAGTACTTATATATAAAAATAAGTTATCTATTTTTAAAAGTAATACTAGCTTATTAATAAGCTATTAAAACTATAATTTTAATAATTTCTTAACGAGGGAGAGGGTAGAATAGAGGAAAGGATAAGTAACTTATAAAAAAAGTTAAGGTTAAATAGTACGGAATTTAAGGGCAGGGTAGCGTCTATATATACTGCGGTAATCCTCTAGCAATACAAAACGATAGAGTTAAACAGTGTCAGTGTCGCGAGCCGAACTTCGCTGTATGCGTACATACATGGTATGAGCCGTCATCCGCGGAAGGGGGTGGGCCTCTGTTTGATTTATCGCTATGACGTATGAATGTGGCTGCCCCCCTGCCATTGGAGGTTCCACTCGCAGGCCCCATCATTAGCATCACATTCGGAGCCCGGAAGAATTATGCAAGATGAGACGGAGGAAAAAGATGGCATCTCCCGTCGCTCCGGTTCGCAGCTTCGAAGCTTGGTTATCAATGTATGTATGAACTTCGCTTGGTCTGTTAGACCATGGAGAAGACGGGGGGTTGCGGGGAGCTGCTTGCTTGGGGTTCCGGCCGTTGGAAATTGGGAGCTCGCTACCTAGCTTGCTAGTCTCCAGACTCTAGACTCCTACAGGTCGTAGGTAGGGGCTATTGTGAGTCTCGACCGTTTACTGGGTGGTCGAATTTGAGAAGCGTGAGAGAGGCGTGGTGGTCTCGACCAGTCGAAGCTTCCCGCCGTGCCGTCTTCCAATCTCCAAGTTCCATGGCAGAACCCTCGTCTTTTCGAAGTTTTGGCCCTTTCCGAATCTTGACGGTGTCAAACCCTTGGCGACAGCCCGCGCCAATGCAGTCCGATGCGTATGGAAGGGTGGAAATCAAATTTGAATTTCAGATCAGACGTACGAGCAGTTGCAGACGGGTACGAACTCCTGCGTCTGTCTGGCTGCCACTTCATGCACGCGCATCCAGTCTCGATAATTTGAGCGCACAGACTGGCAAAGTCCTGTGAGCCATGAGGAGATTGGAAAGGAAGCGCATGGGAAATGAGTACCTGTTTGCAGCCTTGCTAGCATGAAGATGGGGGGGTGTGTCTCCGAATCCAAAGCAACATCAGCAGATTCCTCACCCCAAACTTCCGTGACTCGGAAAGGAAGAGGAAAGAGAATCATATTGCGTCACAGGATGCCAACCGCCATGGATGGAGGTTACCTACCGTTCGTTTCAAGAACCACGCTTCTTTTTTCGTGACGGCGCCGTCGCCTCTTTTCATTTGAAAGTTCGGATTAAGGTGAGGTCAATGCAGAAGGTTTTCTCGCCATCAAGCTAGAAAGTCAATCTGCGAACCGGACGACCCTCGGTGTCTTCGCGTTCTTCTTCTTTTCGAGGTGTCACAAGCCCTGCGCGTCTCCAAGTTCGAGAATACCTGCTACCTACTACTGTGTTGCTACTGCGGGTTTCGGGGACCAAAAGATGAACACTCAAAAATCCTCAGATTAGAAGAAGTCTTGCTCGTGGGAATTTGAACCGAGTTACGGTCGTGTGGCACGGCTGGTCAACACGGACGGTATTGTACGACGTACCTCACGCACGCCTTGGAGACACGTAAGACCCCGTCAAGAATGAAGATGGCTCAAAGCTTGAAGTCTCGAACTTTTATTCTCAGCACCGCCTACCTATACCTCTGCGTCTCTCCCTGCCTGCCTGTACCTGCTGGCTCGCCGCCTTGCCAATGTCGTACCGTCTTTGCATGTGCAAGACAAGGCTAGAAGCAGCATACGCTACAAAGCCTGTGACGCCTTGGTCGCACAGAAAATCAATGAGGCTTCGCCCTGTCGATGGGACCGTCCCACCGAAAAAGAATACGGGACATATCTGTTCACCGTCAAAAACTTTTGGGTCTTTTCTCAGAGTTCTCCCCGTTTTCGGGTGATTGCACCCATGGATTAGGGATAAAATGGAGCTTTGTCCGACCACTCGCTCCCCCCAAGTGGCGTAGAGCAGTTACACCGGGCATAACAATAAGCATATGTTGTACGCGCCTCGCCTGGGAAACTACCGCGAATTAGCATTTGGAGGCTGCTGTGTCAGCCAGGCAAAACAGTGTACTCCGTAAGCAGGCAGGCAGAAGATGTAGATGAGCGTGACGAGGCAGTCAGCCTTGACGCGGCCGCCTCTCCGGCGTTTCAAGTTCTGTTGAAATACGTTCTTTTGATTGCTTAGTCTAAGGTACTCGAAGCTACAAAAGAGGCACAGAGGATAGGGCCAGAGAAGGGGAATCCTGCCGCAAAGGGATCTGAGAGGGAAAATAGTATCAGCTCATGTACTGACAACCCCCTCCCCCTTCCCCCAATTCCCTGGCCTCTGATTGCCTCATCTCGCTCATCCATCGTGCCATCATCCTCTCTCCCTGGCCTTGTGTCCAGACCTCGGGTGTCCCAGACTTTCCCTTCATAACCGAAATGTGCCTAGCCTTGCCGAGCCCGACCAAAGCAGAGAGCGCGACCGCGGCGCCAAGCATCCCGGCCCGCGGCTCCAATCGTATTGATCTGCATGACGCAGAAGCCAGGATGCGAACCTTAATTGGACATGTACCCCACACCCAGAAAGAGACCATCCCCATTTCCTCAATCCCTTTCCACATTTCCTACCCCAAGGGGGCCCAATCCTGTTTGTCTCTCTGGTTCCTCCGGCCGTGGTACATATTACATAATTCTCGTTCCCCAATTGTGAGGAAGGCGAAGAGTCCGCAGCGACAGCAAGTTCTCCCTGCTAGAACACCTTAAGCAGTGAGAGAGTGGCCACCCACCCCACAATGGCGGTGACGCGTAATCACCGTGT